GATTCAGTTAGTAACAGGTATGGGCTTGAGGAAAGAAACCCAATAAATTCCCCAAATTTTATAGCTTTTTTGTAGTTAAATTAACCATTTATTTAATGATGGGTATTTAGGTTGTTTCTAAGTATTTATTTTTTATTGTTTTTGTGAATTTCACACAATACATCTTAATCATCTAAAAAAAAAAAAAACAAACTTCTCCTATCTGCACACCCCTATAGTCACCCTACCAGATTTCATTCATTTTGTCATATATGTTAAGGCCTATTGAGTCAAGTTTGTGTCCCTAGATGTCCCTCTGTGTGAGTTTATACACTGGAGTCTGGAGGGGAGACAGAGAAAGAAAGAGAGACAGAGAGACAGAGAGACAGAGACAGAGAGAGACATAGAGAGAGAGGTCTATCTACTTTTTTCATATATTTTCATACCAACTCTACACATTTATTTTTTATCATCAATGTAACCAACTTCTTTTAAGTGGATAACGATGTTGAAATGGTAACCATGAGGTGGCAGACAGACTCATATTACAGGACTAGCATAAAATAAAGATATGCTAGGAATAAGAGAGTAAAATGTACTAAAAATCAACAGTATCTCATTTTTTAATTTATTTACTATTTTTATTTTATGTGTATGAATGTATTGCTTGCATATGTGCAAGTGCACCCATGTCACGTAGTGCCAGCAGAGGTCAGATGAGAACATCAAATTCCCCTGGACCTGGAGTTATGGATGGTTGTTAGTCACCATGTGGGTACTGGGAATTGAACGTGGGTCCTCTGCAAGAGCAACCAGTGCTCTTAATCACTGAGCCATCTCTCCAGTCCCGCAATATCTTGTTTTAAAATGAAGTTAAAACTCAGTACTACATAAAAGAATGAAAACAGCTTCCCTCAAAGTATATGCAAAAGTACATAATAATTCTCATGAACATAGAAATTACTCAAAGATTAGCAAATCAAATCCAGCAATGCATAAAAAGGATTATATGCTATGATCAAGGTAGGCAAAATCAATTAGCCTAATCCATCATACGAATTGACCAAAAATATTGCATGATTATAGAGCACACAGGAGAAGAATTTGACAAAATTGAACATGTACTTGTGAAAAAAAAAAATGCTTTCAGGCAACTAGGTGCAAAAGAGAACTTTCTCAGCTTGATTAAAAAGTGGCTATAAAACTTCAACTAATATTTTATTGTGACAAAAGCAAGAAAGATGACCCCTCTCACGGCCTCCCGTTTCCAGTGTTGTATGAGATATCCCAATCAGATAAGAAAACAGAGTAAAAAGTATATATCCTGGAGGAAGGAAGGAAACTATCTTTGTTTACACATAAGGTCAACAGTGGTAGAAAATCTGAAAAGATCAACAACAAACCTCTTGGAATTACAAAGTAGTTATAGTAAAATTGCAAAATACAAGGTTAACATACAAAAGAAAAATACATCCCTGTATTTCAGTAACAAACACATGAAATAAAAATTAAAATCACAACACATTTGTAACTGCATCCTCTAAAACTGAAATCCACATGCATCTACTAAATTTTGCAAGTGTGATAGTTTTAGAAAAACTAAAAATTTCTGGCAATCAGGGCTGGAGAGCTGGATCAGTAGTTAAGAGCCCTGGCTGCTCTTGTAGAGGGCCTGTGTTCAATTCCCAGCACCCACATGGCGACTAACATCCATCTGTTATTCCAGTTCCATGAGAACTCCCTGTTGATCTCTGTGGGCACTGTACAACATGGGTGCACTTACATACATGCAAGCAATACATTCATACACATAAAATAAAACTAAATAATTTTCTTTTAATTCTGGCAAAGGTAAATCCAAATAAGACATTAATAATGGGAAATCTAGCCTGTGTTCATGGTTAGTAGAAGCCAATATTGTCAAGATGTTATTTTTTCCCAATCTGATATATAGTTTTAATGTAATCAGTGTCAGAATTCCAAGTTCCTTCATGGATGTCAGCAAAATGATTCCAAAGTTTATACGTTGCCGACAACCAAAATAATGTTGAAGGAGCAGACTGGTGGATAGCTACTGTCTAAGTTCATGGATCACCATGAGGTCACACTAATCAAGATGATGTAATATTGACCAAAGAACAGATAAGTACATCAACTGAATCCCACAGCAGCCTAGAAACAGACCCATGTAAGTAGGAACAAAGGAACAAAGGCAATTAATTTGGAGCAAAGATAGACTTTTTCACAACTTGATCTGAAACAACAGGACATGTACATATTAAAAAAAATTCCAGACTTACAGTTTTCACAAAATGAACTCAAAAAATTAAAACAAAACCTTAAATGTAAATGTGAAACTATATAAATCCTAAAAGATAGAGCAGGAGAAATTCTAGATGATATTACATGATGACATCTTAGAAATAACAACAAAGGCACAATCAACAAAAGAAAAACTTTATAAATCTAGATTTTATTAAAATTCCAAGCTTGTGTTCTGTGAAAGATAATGCTAACAGACTGAGAAGGTAAGCATCAGATTCAGAGAGTGTTTATAAAAGACACTTCTGATAAAGGACTGTCATTCAAAATACATTAAAAAGCTCTCAAAACTCAGCAATAAGAATATGTGCAAAGGCTTTTATTTCTGTTTTTCTGCATGTTTTATTCTTTGAGAATTCCATATATGAGTATTGTATTTTCATGATTTCTACCCCTTCCATCCCCCTCTAATTCTCCATGACTCCCTTAACAATTTCTTGTCTTCTTTGATTTTACTGGTACATATATATACATACATTTATACATATACATATATACATACACATACACATATATGTGGATATGTACATATATACATAATCCACTGAGTCCATTTAGTGGTGCTCATGTATAATTGTGTTTAGGGCTGCCCACTTGGGATCACATGACATCTTGGAGAGCTAGTCCCTGGAGAAAACTGATTCCTCTTCAGCATCTATTGATTACTTGTAGCTCTTTATCTTGAGGTGAGACTCGCTGGTTTTATTGCTATATAGACCTTGTTAGGCTACCACACTGTGATTTCATGGGTGTAAGCTACCTATCATGTTTGGAATACATTAACAATTTTTTCCAGCCTCTCTTCCTTCCCTAGCTATAAAACTTACAAACCACAGTGACAAGCCCAGCAAATTATCTGTATTGGTGCAGTAATGGCACTTTTATCCTGAGGGTAATCAGTAGCTATTTAATTGAACTTAAGGCCTGCTCAATAGGAGGAAATCTGTGCAGAATACTGTACACATAACCAGGTACACATAGTTGGAGAGGTCATAAACCCTAGAGAAAAACCTACCACATTCCTAGATCTTTCCTAGACGTAACTTCTTACTATATTCTAAACACTTATCCTTATAGTCACAGATAGGAGTAGCTCTCACCACTAATCAAAAAATCTTCTTTTTGCAACAGATGGAGACTATTACAGAGTTCCATAACTGGTCACAGAGTAAGTGACTGTGAGGTGCCCAGCCCTAAGTGCATCTACAATGCAACCTTTGCACTTAAGGGTCAGGGAGCATCTTGCAAGAGGTAGCAGAAAGATTGCAAAACTCTTTTTAAACATACAAACTAATATAGAATTGAAACTCATTGGCTTATACTTGTGGAAGTTCATCTGCTAGGAAAAATAAACTTTATATTTAGAAGAATACACATGAGCAAAAGCTTTGATGTCTGAGGGAAGTTCTGGTGGCTATGGAAAAACTTATCTTAGAGAGTATCTGTGAGGTGCCATTCCAGTTCCTGCAGACATGACATCCCACCACTGAATGGGCCAGTGAGTTTGTAAATAAGTCATTTCAGAGTTGCTAATTCAGTATGTTTAGATTGCTTTTCTCTAACAGTTTGCAAGACCAAGTCCTTCTTTTCCTTCAGATCTCTGTTCATTTATTTACTTAAATTTTTTAAAGACAAAAATCTCCCTGTATCCCAGCCAGCTTGGAGCTCACTGTGTAGAC